AAGAAGTCGTGAACTTTCAAGTGTATTTAATATTCGGCATTGCCAAGATAACATTTCGTTCTTCTAGAGAGTTTGAGGATCGCGCCCCCGTGAAGAGTCTGAAAAAATATGCACAGACATGTATATACATATATATTCATGATCGGCATCAACTGGCGAGTAGATAAGCCTCTCAATTGCAACATTTCAAGATCCAGGCAGTCTCTATTCCGGATCGGATGGGATCGGATCGGATCACTATTTAGTATAGCTGCCTTTGTTGTTGATATTCAAGATAATTGATTAAACGGTGCATTTATGATTTCTAACATCAACATCAGCCGACTATATATCACTATATATATAGATCTATAGCAAGAATCGTTCGTAAAGTGCGTTTTCGTATCGAAACATAATCATTTCTTCAAGGCATCCCAATCAAAATCAAATTAAAGGGCTTCGCATGACTACCAAAAGCTTAAGTCGTATGTCTTAAAGGGTATCCAATCGTCGTTTTTTGCTTTTTAATTTCCTTTACCATTGATTCTGTTGCAGCCAAGGAACACAACGAACACAACGAACACAACTGACCAACAGATTGTTGCAGCTTTTTTGTTGTCATTTCATGTTTTAAACACGAGCAGGTTTTGTTGCAAGTTCAATTGTTGTTGTTTTTCCTGTTGGCGCTTCCCTGGGAAAACTGTTTCGTTTGCAGGTTAGTTTTTCGCTTTTTCGCTTCTATTTCATGTGTCGCAGGTGCAAGCTGCATAACCATGCCCCTACCGCAGTCGGGCCGCACTTAAGCTTAAGCATTTCAAAACAATAAACGATAAGCCGTCCTAAATCGCGCATCGCGTTCACTTTTTAGCTGAGGGCAAACATTTTAATACCCTTGCAGAGGCTATTATAATTTAGTCGTGAACTGTGTAACGCATACAAGGAGACAGCTACGACCCGTCTGCCCGTCTGTCTGTTTTTATGCGAACTAGTCTCTCCGTTTTAAAGCTATCTTTATTTTGCAGAAGTCCCTCTTTCTCTTATGCCAGCTGGATCGGACCACTATATCATATCGCTGCCATATTAACGAACGGTTTATCTTGCCCAAACTCGGCATTAACTATTTTTCCCGTGTTTCTTAGATACGGGCAAAGCACAATGAGCATTATGAAAAGGTTGGGTATGCAAGGGTATTAGATCTTCGGCGTGCCGAAGATAGCCTTTCTTTCACGTTTTGTTATCAAATTGTGAGCATGGCTTTAATTAAAAATAAATAAGTGCAATCGCATGGCTTGTGTTCGCCAGAGAGATAGATACTCTATAAAAATTGTGATTCGAAATTCAAATAGATTCGAATTTCATAGACATGTTTTATTTTTGCCCCTTCAATATTGGCCCATAGTGTTGACAGCCTACAATGGGCGTGGCAGTCTGTCAAGTATACGACTAGAAGATTACCTATTCGATAAGTCGTATATGGGTAAAATGTATCCTTGATTAACATTCGTGATATTCGAAAGTTTCCATAGGGGAAAAATTGCATTCCTGGATTCTTCAAGATACGCTCAGCAACTCGGGCACTCGATCGATATTTATCGATTTTATACGCGTTTATTATCGCAAACATTATATTTCAATCCTCAGGTATTTAGTTTCGACTCTAAATCTTACTTATTTCGATTCACATAGAGTTGAAGGGAAACAGATATATTTGCGCAACTAAACAAAACAATACAGGAAAACAAACATGAAGAGCATGAAACTCGGGCAAATACAAACCGAGATAAGCTGGCGCAGAGCGGCAGACGAAGGTGCAACGCACAATCACGGCCAGGTAATCAGGTATTTAACAGGCAACGGCGGGGGGTGGGGGGCAAATGCCGCCTCATTCATGCAAAGCGGCAACAGCTGCTGCCGCACTCTCAGCTCAACGGTTCGGTTGTCTGGTGACCCGCTTCGATCGCTGTTTACCTGGCAGCGCGCACCTATGCCTTACCTGAAATCCCAGGTGCAAAAGAGAAAAAACCTGACGCAATTAACGAAATTAACAGGAGCAAGGGGAGTGGCAGAACGAAAGAGAGAGAGAGAGCGATAACTGTTAAAATTGCAAGTATCACATTTTAGTTTGTGTTTATTAAAATTGCGTTATTTCGATATGTTTACCAGGACCAGGTGAGATCAGGTAAAAGCGAACGGAATGTGCGCACGAATGCAACAGAAATTGAAGCAAAAAAACAACTTTGGAAGTTGAAATTGAATATGCCGCATTGATCTACACATATATATATATATATATATATATATGTATATATATATATATATATATGTATATCTGCATATGTGTGTAAATAAAACTAAATGCAGTTGCAAAAAGGAAGCAGAGTTCGAAATCAATGTTGATTTTTAAAAGCAAGTTTATTATGTTTGTATATATATATATGTATATATATATATATATAACCGACTGAATGACTGACTGACAAATCAAATTTGTACTTTACGTGATGAAGTTGCACATTAAGACGTGATTTCGGCAAATTCCACCCGCACGTGTGGAAAAATCGCGAAAAACGTTTGTTTGAAACTTTTTTGTTTACCATCCGATCGGCCTCAAGCTCATTCTCAATGACCTTTGTGAGAACCTATTTAATAGGTTCTTGGGTGGCAAAATGCGAGTCAGCGGAAACCGTTGATTCCAATATTTGGTTATTTTTTCCTGAAAGATGAGATCAAGATGGTTCGGGTTGATTTCAAATTTCCACAGTCGTGGAAATGTTATATCGCAAGCCCGGATAATACCCGCTAGTATATACATATATCTAAAAGGTTTTGAGTATAATTAGTAAAATATATAATAAAAACGTAAAAGTCTGCGAAGAAAAAAACTGTTATTTATTTTGAATTACAATATAATATGATACGTGACGTGAAACCCTATGCCTGAATATTTTGCTATATAAGCTGTGTAGAGATTATAAAAAAACAAAATTTCCCCAAACATATCTATGTACATCGTATACACATACATATGCATGGCTGCATTTGTACATATTTACGTATGTATGTGTTTGATTTTCGTAGCACTCCCTTAAAAAGTGATATGAGAAAAATCGCAATGAAGCTTTCCATGCACGCTTCAACAAGTCTATATTGGAGTTCCCATAGTGAAAGTTCTTGTTTTTGTTTCTGTTTTTTTTTTTTTTTTTTTTTTTTTTTTTTTTTTTTTTTTTTTTTTTTTTTTTTTTTTTTTTTTAGTTATGCTGCGACGTGTAACGACGTGACGCAGCAAACGAACATGTCCGTACATGTCCATGCGTGCGCATTGCACAAGCCGCAACTCAAACTTACCCAGCAACAATTTCCCGTTAATCCAGTTGTTGTTGTTATTTTTGGCGTTCAACTTTCAATTAGTTCTTGATACTGTGTTTGGTGCAACACTTGAAACAAAACAAAACAAACAAAACAAAAATAAACAGACACAACAAATTTATATATTTGCCAAGCTTGCGAAATTTTCACGGCCATGAATTACTTTTGCCGGCTTTCATTGAATTTTCAAACTCAGAAACTCACAACTCGCGACGCTGAAAAACTCGCGCACTCGCCAAGGGATCGCAGCGAACTGGCGGCAAAGTAACTGAACAACAAGAAGAAGCAGAAACACCTGCACTCATGCACAAGCTTGTAAACGCTGCCTCTGCTGCTGCGCATGCGTCGCAGTATGTGTGCGTGTTTTATGGTGTGGTGGTGGCGGCGGCGGCGGCGTCGGCTGCCTGTGACGGCACGCAACTGCTTGCAACAAAAAATTGTAGGTGTATTTGTGTTGGTGTTGCAACTGCGCAACCGTTTAACACAATATATGTGTATATATATTCACTTGCCACTAAAACCAAGTCATGGTATAACAAAATAATTACGCAAAATAACAACAAAACATTAACGAATGCTGAACGCAAAAAAAAAAAAACAACGCGAACGAACGACCAGATAAACGGCCGACTCTTGCAGAAAACTCGAACTAACTGATCGTGTGACCCTCACATAGAGGCGATGGAATGCCAGAAAAATAGGCGCACAAAATACTGACAATATCAGTTGAAAAAATACTAGCATTTCGCAGTACTAATCTAGATGTATCGATCTATAATATCTCTATAAAACATGCATATAGTTATTCGCATAATAAAAACAAGCTGCTACTTATATACACATGTTGTTATATCTAAACTTAAAAAAAAATGCGCTTGTGTCAATCGCGTATACCGATCTTATCGATATTTTTCATTCATATTTATGTTACAAAATGTATAACTCTTATTTGATTATGATAATGTATACATTTTTAATTAAATATAAAAACAAATAAAATTAGTGCACAGTAGAAACGGATCAAAAGCTGCTCAATACAAAATTAAAGCAAACAGCCAAACAGAGTGACCAGCTATCAACAAGACAATATCCTCAAATTGTAGTATTTAAACAGTTAAGTATGTGACACATAACAAAGGTGTTGTGATCTAATGACAATAAACTAATTAAATAAATTTATTTGAAATTACTGAACATTCCGTTGACAACCTGCTTAAAAGCCTATATATAATTTCTCTGTGGGCGGCCTTTAAAACTAGCCAAAATATAGTATTTGAATACGCAAGTATATATTTAAGAGGAATGGTCGCACTGTGCGAAATAGCGTACCGTATGTGTATATCGTAAAAGTATTTGAATTCTGTTCTTTGGCATTTAAAAGCCTCAGTTATATTTTATGCATAAATTTATTTTAAAACAAAACATATTCTTTTGTAGATATAACAATATTGATGGATTTTCTGCCTGTGAATAATAGCTTACGTAATTTTAATTGGGTCTACATCTTTGTGAAAGTAAAAACGTATTTAATTCCGATAAATATGTTTTGATTGATCGATGCGTGACTATCGATAAATGCAATATCAATACTGTTACTGATGCCGCGGTTAATAAGACAAGTTGGCGCCTTGGTAAATCTGAATAAGTAAATCAAAATGTCGCTCGAGAATTTCCCACGTGTGTACAGCTTCATTGCGAATTTGTGCGCCTCGAATAAAGAATTGCATAGTCTATTCGCCCAATTCGAGAATGCGCTCAAGGAGAAGGCGGATCTTGGCGAAGCAAGAACAAGTACCTTAAGCCGCAAAACACATTAAGAGATTAACAGTTATACAAGAGATTTGAACTATTCCAGAGCTGCAGAAGGACATGCAAAATTTGCGCATCGATCTGATGCTGGTGCGTCAAGCGGCCGTCCAGATGCAGGAGGAACGCAAACAGTTCAACAGATTTGCCAGCATTTTAGATGCCTCCTACGAGCATCTACTCGAAATGGGCAACCTGCTCAACGATGATAAAATTAAGAATATGATGCGCTTCGCCGGCTTATGCAAACAGAACGAGGCGGAGGTGAAGCTGCAAAACATGGAGCAGCTGCAAAAGTTCAACCGGGAGTGCAAGGTGGCCATGGAGAATCGTGCAATTGGTAAGTGGCATGGACTTGGTCTGTGGAATTAAGCTGCATGGTAAAACGAAACTCAATTGCAGTTAAGGATTTTCGTAAATGGCAGCGTTTGGTCCAGGAAGCGGAAGAGGAACATGCGAGCATTCAACGGGAATTCGCGCAAATGGATCGCCAGAGGAGCATCAAGATTAAGCGTGCCACACAGCAGCGCAACAAGAAGATTGTCTCCTTGGTGCAGCTACGCAAGCAAATTGCCGAGGTAAGCTAAATGGCAAAATGTATCCTGCAGCTAACCCGCTCGAATTTACGGCCACAGCTTGAAACGCCCGTGCATGAAGTCAGCAAGAAAGCCGGATCTATGCGCGGCAAAAAGGCGCCGCTAATCCTGCAGTCGGCATTGGATTTTCTCAGCAACTATCCTGAGGAGCGCCGGGCCAAAGAGCAGGACATGGACGTGTCAGCGGCGCCACCATTGCGCTCCATCTTGGTGGTAAATCGCAGGCAGGAGGAGACGGAACGCATACCTAGCCCCACCAAGCAAGTGCATTTTGCACCGCTGCCATCGCCAGTTCATGGAGACGACATGGCCGAAATGATGAACGATGCCGAATTCGACATGATTGAACCATGCTCAGAGTCATCGGAGATGGACTCAGAAAATATGCCCAACACGGAGGATTTTCCGGAACGCGCGATTGTCCAGAAAGTCGAAGTGCTGCCGCGTCTGCAATTTTCTGATCGCAATATGAGCCTGAGCTTTAAGAACCTCTTCCCATCGCATAGCACCAAGCCAGCACAAGATTCTGCTGTCGACCAAAAGACAGAATATGAACACGGCGACAATCAACTGACATCCACAATGTTGGAAAATGACGACAGTTCCGATATAAACGACTCCAATTCTTTAGACTTTTCGAATATCAACTGCGACGTAAACGACGATTTCTTTTTGAATTTTAGTGACGGAAATGATTCGCAACCGGCAACAAATCGCCTTGCCTATGAGCTCTAAGAAGAATTTTTAAAAGCTATTCGAATATTTCACGCCTATATAAAAAAACCCGTACGATATTAGTTTTTAAGAGTATCAATTAAAATAGTAAGAAACAAGTTCTCTTATCAATAATTTTATACATAAGTATTTAAGCCAGAAATATCATGAAGAAACATTCAGCTTTATTTAATATACATACGTACATATCAATTTTAAAACTTAAAAATTATACAGAATTTCGCCTTAAGTCAAAGACTTTAGTTAGAAAGGCAATACAGTATTTAAATCATTGAATCGATTTAATTTATTTATATTACTAAACATTATTGTTCTTGAGTCAAAACTATCTCAGTATTAAAATCAACTGAAACATTTACTTTTTTACAAATTTGTTTCCAACAAAGACTTGATAATTTTTGCGTTAAATAAAACTCTTATATATCCGATACTTTAGTCAATCTGAATTGGAATTTAACTATTTGCATAGACTTTAATAATATATTTTAATTTTTAATTTTAAATCATGAATTAATTTTTTCTGACCACCCTGTTTTGGATCACCCTGTTTTGCAGTATTTTATCAGTGTAGAACATTTGTCGGACAACTCATGTTGGTATTTTTAGTTGCTACCTAAACGCAGTCACATTGTATTTTGTCTGTTGGTTGTCTCTGGTCACACCGAGAGGAGTGTTACGCGAAACACAAAAAGTCAAGCGAGCTCGTCGTTTAATTATTAAAAAAATAACTTGTAATAATTAAAAAAACATGAGTTTTTGAACGATGCAACACGAATGCATTCGATTGTGCGCATAACACATGTGACGCATCAACAAATGTAGCTTAAATTCATAGTTTGAAATCGTCACCAAATTGGCGTCGCGGACAGCGTATGTATTTTTTGTTCACCGTTTTTATCGATTAAATTGTATGTGTACGAAGAGATAGTTGCGACTATTGCTGGCGCGCAAACACGCATACTCATACACGTACAGCAGCAGCAGCAGCAACAACAACAACAAGAACAACAGCAGCGATTACAGTTGATACATTTAGAAGCGGAGCACCCTGAAAAGCTCGCAAACAAAGCTAAACGCGGAAACTGCGCTGCGTTAATCCAAATCGAGAATTTGCCCGCATCGCCAGCGCTTTTAACGCGAGATGTCTTGCAAAACGGAGAACAGCGCTGCCAGCAGCAGCACCACCACCAGCAGCAGCAGCAGTAGCAGCGGCTACGGCACCAGCAGCGTTCCACTTATCAGCGATAGCAGCCGCACCAGTGGTAAGTGGCAAACCACCTAAGCCCATCTCCACCCCCTCTCTCTATCTCTCTCTCTCGCTCTCTCTCTCTCTCTCGCTCGCTCGCTGATGACCCGTTTGTTTGTGCGCAGAAATTGCTGATAAGATGCTAAACATGCGTGCGCAGGGCTCCGCAAACGGCAAGCATAAACCACCGAAACAACTGCAATCGCAGCAGCCGCCGCAGCAGCAGGAAGAACCACAGCTGGAAGAGCAACAACAGCAACAACAAGCACAACTGCAGCAGCAGCAGCAGCAGCCACCGCCAGTAACGCCACAAAAAGAGGCAATGTCTGCGGACGAGCGAAAAGCCACCAAGAAATCTCTAGTCATTGTCGTTGCGATATTCGTTGCCAGTTTGATGACCATGTTCTATGTCTATGCAATATTTCCCGAATTGAATGCGTAAGTGTTGATCAGTTTCAAAGTTCATTTAACAAACCTATCAAATACCCTGTAATCAATCAATGCGCCTAAAGGGAGCGCGTATTTATGCAATATTAGGTGCGAACGCCGACAATTACTAAAACCAACGCATATTTACGTACAGTGAAAGCTCTTTAGAGCGAACGCCTGCTAGGCATATCTGCCTTTTTACAAATTCTATTTTTTTTTTGTTTTATGACATGAAACATGAAAACCTAACAATATTGGCTTAAGATCTATTGCAGTTATTTTGCTCTTTCATTCAGTTTTTCTTATTTTTTTCACTAAAAAAACTATTTTATATTTTTAAATGAGATATTCTTTGTTCAAAGGAGCTGTCGCTTATTCTGAATTCATACTCGTGTGCGTTTATTTTATAGATATTTTTTTGGTCTTAAGTTACTTTTGTCTTGATAGGTTGAACGGAAAATTTCATTTTATAGATTCTCAAGACAGCTTCGCTTCTTGCTTTTCTTCTGTTTGTTTATATCCCATATTTGTGTACAATACATTTTGTATAACAAGCGCTCGATTAGCACAAATGTTGCAAAAACAAACAAAAACAATTTTCATTAGCGTGATCCAGCGGAACGAAGCGGAGTATGTTATCGCAATTATTAACTATAGATGCAGCTAGGGTATCTGCTAGTCGGGCATTCGTGGCTCGCGGCTCGGACGCGCTTGTCACCTGCGCTTGTGTCATTTTCCTCTGACATTGTGACGAGCTTTGTACGGAGCTTGCGTTCTCCAAAAGTCACGCCACTTTACACTAACACACACACACACACAAATACACATACGCACACAGACAGAGTCGAATAAGCTTGTGCATTTATTACAGTCGTAAGTAACGCTTTTTTGTGTGTGTGTGTGTGTTCATTTTGTTGCTCGTTTGTTTGTCTCTTGCAGCTCTGAGAAGCAACATTTGAAAATACCACGTGATATACAAGATGCTAAGATGCTCGCAAAGGTCCTGGATCGCTACAAGGACATGTATTATTTTGAAGTGATGTTCGGCGTTGTTGTCGCTTACGTATTGTATCCTTTTAACATCAGCCAAGAAAACCATAACGAAACTGATCTTATCACACACATGCCCATACCCATACCCAAACACGTACATGCATGCATACATAGAGCTGCCGGACTAGATAACGGCGTTGCGCATCACGTTTGATCACGTTCACAAACGTACTTATAACCTTGACCTCATTTCAAATGGCTGCAAATGGTCAGTTTAGACCAAATAGTGTGCGACAACGACAGTCACATTCATGGTCAACAGAAGTTATCGCACACACTAACACACACGCACAACACGCGCGCGTCTACACCCACGCATAATTAGCATTGGAGACGACGTCGCCGTTTCGGTTGCAAGTAGGAAGCAGAAAATACACAATAAAAAGAAGAAGAGAGAAAAAAAGAACGGCAAGACTCGATACAACAACTGCGAGCATGTCGGAGCATGATCAGCTGATCGACGCTTCTGCCATTGGGCAAGTGCACTTTGCACTCTCTCTGCAGAAGCGTGTGAAAGACAGAGAGAAAGAGAGACGCGCATGTTGACGCATACATGGAAGCTCTCTTCCTATCACACACTGCCTTGCGTTCTCGGCCTTTCACTGCATGTTTATAAACAAATACAAGAATGTAGGGTTAGCCTGCGCACGCCGCAGATGAAATACCCTAGGCTTAAAAGCGATTACACAAGAAATTGACTTACTGATTGTATTTTGCTCATGTGTTGAAAGCACAGTGAAGCTTGTAAATGCCAAGATTGGTTAAAACATGTTGAAAACCATAACGATAATTCCTACTGACTGCAACCAAAATACAGAACGCTGACAAGTTTAATGGCTGTCGATACTGATCAAGAAAACAAACATCATACATATTCAAAGATACCTCATTCTACGCGTTACGTATTGCGTGTCACGATTATAATACTCTCAGCAAGTGTATGAAAAAAAGCACAGCCACACGCATACAACAGCGTGTGCAGGTGCCTATGTGTGTGTGTGTGTGAGCTTGCGTCTTATAAACAAAACAGCTGAGAACTGGTCATTCTTTTTTTTTTTAATTTTTCATTGTTTTGCTCATTAAAAAAGCACAAATACATATATTCATGCATATGTATGTATGCATGTAAGTACACACGTGTATTTGTATGCATGCGTGCTTACATATTTTTTTCTGTTCAATCATTTACAATTAGCCAAAGCAGCTGGCGACGCAATTACGATTTCACGTAGCGATTGAATGATCTGTAAGCTGGTTTTGTTAATAATATAATTTTTGTTATTTATAACAAAACATTTTTTCTGCTGAATTCGTTAAACATTTGCCACTGCCATGAATGAGCGCGCATGTGTTCGTCCGTAATAGGACGGAAGAACGATAAAAATTTGCTTGGCTCTTGTAATATAATATTTGTATGTGTAAATATTTATATAATATTATTCATTCAAGCTGGCAAAAGTTCATGCATGTTCTCTTTCAAGACAGAATCTGTATTGAGCTTATATTGTTACTTATTTTCTAAAATTCTAAAAACGAACTCTAAGACAGGTTTTTTATTTTTTAAATTCCTTCCATAGGTTTCATAGAACTTTCTGAGCTATTCAATAGATCGATCTCAAACTTATTTTCAATCATTTTTAATATATATTTAATAGATTTTGGAAAATCCAGTTAATGTGTAGAAAATGTGCCAAAGCCAGATAAATACTTGCAATATTCATATTCAAGCTGGCAACATTTGTTTTTTTTAGTGTTAAATTCATTTAACCGATTCTCTGTTTTCAAGGTTTGTTGGGTTCTTGACACCGTGGCCCGGGGCTGATGACAAAACGTTCGTTGCATTTGCCATTTTTTGTTATCGTTCATTTTTTTGGCTGGCACGTCTTGAATTCGGGTCGAAATCGATCGATTGCGATTGCCATTGTCAACGTGTGTTTTACTTGACTATTAATAGTCGATGATCCAACCCAGCCAGTTGGCAATTTATCAGATGATCTGTTTTTAGATCCATTTATCTAGACCCTAGGCAATATGTATGTACATCACGACCATATCTATTCATTCATTCATTCATTCATTGACATACTTATTTATGTTGCGGAAATTGGTTGCCTTAACTGAACGTGTTTTATATAGCCTACAAACATTTGCCATTCCTGGTTCGTTATTCCTGTCGATCTTGCTTGGATTCTTATACAAATTCCCAATCGCATTGTTCCTAATTTGCTTCTGCTCGGCGCTGGGCGCCACACTATGCTATACGCTCTCCAAT